TCGTCGTTTGCCCTGTTGTCTGTCAACAACATTGAAACATGGCGGCGGCCGCGATCTCCGACGACAGTTTAAACCGCGTTTTCAGTGTTAAGTCGCATGCTCGCACCATAATGTTAAGAAAATAGCATCCATTGATGTATCGAAAAAATTCAGCAAACTATTTAGCCCCGTTCACACGGCAACGTTTGGTCCGACGCAGCGCCGAAACACATCCAGTCGAGCATTCACACGTGCACATTTGCTCTGGTGTAGCTCCACTAAAGAGCTTATACCGGACCAAATTTGAGCCACCTCAGGGAGGTGGTTTAAAAATTTGCTCCAGAGCAAATGCTCGTTTGCGACGCTACGCCGAAACAAATGTGCACGTGTGAACGCAGCTATAGTTGAACAATTTTTGGGTTCGCGAGAGTTCGCCACGTCAGAAACAAGCCGTTTTTGGGCGCGCTCGGGAGCTCGTTCATATTTTCAACAATATTTCGGTTTGCCTTTTCCTCCCGCTAAAATTGACACGTGGATTATTTCCAATTTAGCGGGGAGAGAAAATATCCTCCGATGGCGGAATGACCGACCCCGGTCTCTCCAACCTGTCTTTGCTCCGAGCCAGGCTGCAGCAGGAGCCGGCCCTCCTGCCCTCGGACCGGGAGTGCCCCCCCCGCCTGTTGGTGCCCTCCCCTCGCAACTTGGGCAGCCCCGAGGCCAGCGACTGCAGCACGGAGACCGAGCAAAGGGGCGCCGGCGCCTCCACGCCGGACATCTCTGTCAGCAGCGACAGCGAATTCGAGTCCTGAAACGGCGTGCGCCAAAGACAAGCGCGGCCGTGCCGGCGACGGCCTCCGGTGAGGTCTGGACTGTCCCGTGACGGGGGGCCAGGATGTCACGCTTGAGAGGGGACAAAAAAAAAAAAACCCAAAACAAAGCAAGAAACGGCATGCGCTTCCACAAGCCCCGTGACTTTGACCGCATGGTCGTGGAAAAGGGCTCTCGAGAAAGAAGCCCTGTGTTCTTCAAGTGTTTCTTGTCGCAGTGCCTGGCTCCGCCGAGGTGGCAAAAGTACTCTCGCTCCGTACTTAAAAGTAGAAGTACGGAGACTTGTGTTCGAAGTATTCATTCACCTCCTTGATTGAAGTCAAAATTCACAAGTACAGACTCTGGGTTGGACTGAAGTACAATCAAATCATTTTTCATGTCGGTTATATCCCGTAGTCGTTTTGTCAACTTGCTGTCATGGGGAAAAAAATCCTGCACAAAAATAATGTCTCTTTTATTATTATTATAATTTTTTTAATGAACTTACATAGTGTGTTGACTAAAAAAAAAAAAAAAAAAATAGCAAAGCTTCACCATACTTTGTGAAGCGTATCCCCAAAAATTCTTGTAGCGAGCAAGCGCTCAAAGCACAGCGAGCATGTCACTGCCTTAACAGGAACCAACTCAGGGCACCCCTCACCATGTTTACCTGCTGACGTCACGCCACGCGTTGGTTTTTTAAGGCCAGTAGGTCGATGATCGGAGGAGAGTCTCAGCGACGCGGGCCACCGGCGGACGATCTTTCCTCAAGAAAAAAAAAAAAAAGGAAGCTGTGTTCATGTCAATAAATGATATATATTTCGATCCAAAGTGAGGTTGCTTCAGTGTGTTTGTCTGTCCTTGACTGGCGCCGGGGGCCACGTGGTCAGATGCTTGAGGAGGAACCAAATGCATGGAAAGGCGTTACATACTTTGGATACAAAAAAATAAATAAAATGTAAGCGTATACTGTTACAGTTACAGAAGAAAAAAAAAAACCACATACTCAGATTACAGGTACGTTTATGAAAAATGTGGATTATTTTGCAGGATTACGTTTTGACTGCAGGAAGAGAGACGGAGCAGTTTGAGTCCTTGGTCGACCGCCGTCAAAAAACAAGCTTTCCTGGAGTTGACTGTTTCACTGTTAACAAATTGCTCCCTCGTCTTCCTGCCAGTCGCTTTCGGTTAGCCCACGATGAAATGGGACAGGTTGATTTTAGTGTGGCCTGTTTGGAAAGTGACTCGAAGGGAGAGACGGTGGCTGTTTGAGGTCACATATGAGGGTCATTCAAGAAATAAGGTGAATTTTTCAGTCCAAGGACTTCTAATACAGATACAAGCTGACTTTTTCTCTCTGTCTCTCTCTCCAAACGTCGTCTCCCAGCACCGTCACACACTTTTCCCATCTGTGCACAAGCTTCCGTATTCCCTCAGCATCAATTTCTTTGGACCGATGGCTCAGCCGGTCGCTCACAACACTTTCGACTTCATTGTCACTTGCAAACTTGGTACCTCCCGTGAACGCTTTGAAGGGGAAAGGTCTGGCCTGGAAGGGGGATAAGGGAAGTCAAAAGTGTTGTGAGATCAGTCCAAACCTTCGATGGGAACAGTGTGTGACAGTGCTGGGAGACGACGTTAAAAAAGTAAGCTTGTATCTGTATTAGAAGTCCTTATAGCGAAAGATTCACCTCATGTATTGAATGACCCTCGTATATTCACTGCAGGACTTATTTATTCATTTTAAATAACATCGACCAAGAAACGTGCGAGCTGTCGGACTCACCCAGGCTGCTTGAGGAGCTAGCAGGCTAACACCAACCACTAGCTAGCCGCAACGACTTCACGAAATTCCGCCATGAATGCCCAAAGCTTTACTATTTAAACATGATATTGCCGAACTCATCTGCTAAATTTGTCACGGGGAATCGCCCCCCCCCCTCCACCCCCCTCTGTGGTAATAGCTGTTATGCATTTACTTTGAAAGCACCTAACAGTATGTATGCGGGCTAAATGTCGTTAGCTTAGGAGACCTAGGGGGACGTGTTGCGGCTCCTGCTAAAGCTAGGTTGACAATAAAATGTTGCCTGCTCAAAACCCACTGTATCTTATTTACCCACATTACGACACCCTCCATTTCACCCCCCCCCCCGTTGGTGACGTCACATACCGTCGTATCAAAAAGACGAACGTGTGTGCGTGTGTGTGTGTTTGGGACAGGGGGATTCAAGCCAATGTAACTCCTCTTTCTCCCCCCCCCCCCCTCCCTTTCAACTTTTGACAAAACGCCGAATGGTTTGCAGTGTTTGATGAAGCTATGAAAACAAATTTCCCCTACGAGATGAAGTTATGTCTCCATCCATGTCTGCAGCATGTCGTGTGCCTCACAGTAAGCTGTGCTTTGCATTTGAATTGCGGGGGCTCAGGCTTCCAAAGTCATGCACATGAAACAACCATAGGAAAAGAAAAAGAGCAGACAAATATCAACTACATTAACGATACATCATATATCAACGATAGAAATATCAGCTATATTGATTTGTTTGGAGGCTGGCAACGGGTTCAGGGTGTCCTCCGCCAACTGCCCGAAGACAGCTGGGAGAGGCTCCAGCACAACCCGTGACCCTAGTGAGGATAAAGCGGTTCAGAAAATGAATGAATGAATAGAGAGAGAGAGAGAGAGAGAGAGATGACATTTTTTGTCGATTAACCGATACGTTTATTGCCATATGGATTGTTGTCAAGCTGAACAAAGAAGTATCCGCACTCAGTTTGCTACTGTGTCTTGATGCAGGCTACGACGGTAGAGCCAAGTATTTTCTGGTGCGGGGAGCGCCGGGGCGTACTTGGTGTCAACACTTTGAGACCCACTGGCATAGATTCGCGGCTGGCTGGCTGGAGCCGCACTCAAAAGAAGAAACATGAGGCAAAGGAGGCGGCGATGCTGGCGTCCCACCCAAGCCGGCCTCCAAAGCGGGCGGGTCTACAAGACGCGCCGAGTTGCCGAGACTGCGCCGACCAGGTGGGCAGCACATCGGAGTTGTTAGCGGAACCAAGATGGACAGCGAAGGCCGGAGAGTGGTGGTCTGCGACAACGGGACGGGGGTACGTCAAAAACTTGCCGAGAACCTTCCTGCGCATCGGAGCTCTGACTTTATGTGCGTTCGGACGAGGTGAGAATGCGGCGGCCTGTCCGGACTTGTTGCTTGCTCTCTGGGGCCGGGCCGTCATTGGCTGGGAGTCCGGAAGTGCCGTCCGTCTCAGGTGCCGCTTTTTCAGGAGGGGCTGCTGGCTTCGCCTCGGAATGCGCTGCCGTCTGCCCCTCGGGCGAAAGAAGGAAGGAAGGAAGGAACACAGCGCGGCGTTCATGGGGCCCAATTTGGAATTTGAAGCTCGGCCTTGCACGCTCAACTGAAATGCTCTTGTGCGCTCCGCTAAAACGTTCAAACTCATAGTCACTACAGTGAAACACTGTCAGGCTGACTTCTGAAATGCTGTCGCGCACTCAGGCTTTTGATTTTTTTTTCCCCACTCGGCAAACAACCGACACACTTTCACACGCTCAATCAAATGCGCTCCAGGCTACGAAAAATGATCTACTCATCGACTGCTCATGACTTCGATACGTATTCCAGTCACGCGTATTCGATCATGGGCCCCATTTCCGTGCGCATCGCCTGTCGAGCTCGCGCAAAGCGGAATCCAACTGTTCACCTGGACGGACTTTTCTTTGATTGGGGATTTTGCTTGACAAGCACAGACGGAAAAGGGCGTGTGCGCCGTTGTGGGACGGGACTCCTGGGAACATTGAGGCGTCGCGGGAACAGAAACGGACTCGCTGGGGTCCGTGCGAGATCTTCGTGTTCTCTCGTTCGCGCTTCAGTTTAATTCCTGATGCACTTTTAGTCGGCGGCCATTCTCCCGTCTCGGCTTGTGGCACATCCATTTGCGTAAGTGGTGAAAACTCACGCGGCCGCCGGAGAGCTGTGGTCCATGAATTCTGAGGAATGCCTGCAAATACCAGATGGCGGGCTTGCCCTGAGATGTGAATTCCGTCGAGATCCATTTGGAATATATGTCACACTTTTTCGTAGGACTGGCGAAAAATGCAGATTGGCCACGGAAACCCCTCATTTCAAGAGCCGAGCGGGGCACTTCATGAGGTGCGCATAGTAGCGTGCTCTTTGGTCCGCTGCAAGATCTCCCCTTGCGGATGATGTAGTTGGCTGCACATGTGAGGTGGGCAATGGGAGACGCCCTTGCACCCCCCCCCCCGATCGTGTGCTTGTGTCACAAAGCCGCAAAAGGACACGATGACGCTCAAATTTTCACGGCAGGCGCGCCGGCTCCCTTTTTGCAAAATCCGGCCCTACGTCAGTCATGGAAACGGTCACCTCTGGGCAATTTTGGTGCTCTTTTCGAATGGTCCAAGATGCCACAAGGTGGCGCCAAAGTCCGAATAAAAAGTATTTCACAGTTGGTCCCGACGAGAACATCCATGTGCTCCATCTCCGCATGAAGGTTTTGTCCAAATCAAACCATGAGCAAGACCTCATTGCTTTTGTTCATTCCATGCGCGACGGGCGCCTCTCCCGCAGTTCGTCAAGTGCGGCTTTGCTGGCTCCAACTTCCCCGAGCACATCTTTCCCGCCATGGTGGGTCGCCCGGTCATTCGATCCACCACCAAAGTGGGCGACATCGAGATCAAGGTAAGGGAGAAGGGCGAAGCCCGGCAAAGGTCGCCGCAGCGCCTCCCTCCCGCCTCCTCCCGTCCCGTCCCGTCTCGTAGGACCTGATGGTGGGCGACGAAGCCAGCGAGTGCCGCTCGCTGCTGGAGGTGGCGTACCCCATGGAGAACGGGATGGTGCGCTGCTGGGACGACATGCTCCACCTGTGGGACCACACCTTCGGACCCCAGAGGCTGGACATCGAGCCGTCCCGCTGCAAGGTGAGCCGAGAGGCGCCCGGGCGCGCAGAAGCGCAGCGCTAAGACCTTCCCGCGGCGCGCAGATCCTGCTGACGGAACCTCCCATGAACCCGACGAAGAACCGCGAGAAGATCGCCGAGGTCATGTTTGAGAAATACCAGTTCCACGGCATCTACGTGGCCATCCAGGCGGTGCTCACGCTCTACGCTCAAGGTACGGCACGCCGCCGGCGTCGTGGCGTAGCCAGCGGACGTCGTTCGACTTTTCTTTCAATGCGCCGTTTGAGAGGAGGGCATCCTTCCACTTCAATGTCCGACAACTTCCATGACGGAGCGTGAACCTTTGACATTTTCCAGAAATTTCACCCCAAAGCCAAACATCCCAAAGTTTTTGAGCAATAGAGAGTGTGTTTGGCTTGTTTTGTGTTATTTATTTAATGCAAACCGAGTTGAACTTCCCGAGGATGTGGATTTTGGCCTCTTTGAGTCATTGGCCACGGCTATTGGCATCAAATTGGGCCGTTTGGCCTTTTGAGAAGCCACGCTGGAATTTTTGCACTTCAAATGTTGTGGGCTGTTCAACAGTAGTTGTCGTGGAGGTGCGGATGGTTGTCTTTTTCTTGAGGGTTTTTTTTTTTTTTTAAACTTATTGTGAGCACTTGAGAACCAGTTTGAGGAAAAAAAGACTTGCGCCCGCAGGTCTGCTGACGGGCGTGGTCGTGGATTCGGGCGACGGCGTCACTCACATCTGTCCGGTGTACGAGGGCTACTCCTTGCCGCACCTGACGCGCAGGCTGGACATCGCTGGGCGGGACATCACGCGTTACCTCATCAAGGTGTGGGCAGCAAAAACAAACCAAAACAAAACATGTCAGCCATGCTTGAAACACATCTTAAAAAAATGAGGAAAGCTGTTGACTTGACTCCTAAAATAAGACAATTAATTCCACATGTGGATTTCAACAGCGCACTTCCTGTCTCGCCTCACGAGTAAAGTGTCCGCGTCCGTCCAGTGAAGACCGAGAGCAACACGAGCTGTGCTACCGGTGACCTAAGATTGTACGAATGAATAGCTAGCCAGCGCTTCACGACGAGTGCTGGCGGCACGCAGATGTCCACTCTTGCCCGGTTTTGATTCACGAGCAACGGACATTGGGGACATTGGACGCGGGCATAAATGCCGCCTTGAGTCCGTTGCTACGCCACAAGCGCGCGTCCGCCATCTTTGATGCCCGCAAAACTAATGCAAGCTCACGGAGCGAACGGCATCATCAAGTGACGAGCTCCCAAAAATCTCATACCATGCTTGAAAGTATAGTTTAGCTTTAACAGTGCGGCATCAATGAAAACAAACAACCCCCCCCCCCGAGCCCCACCCCACCCTAAAATCCTCGTCACTTTAGTGCGTGTTGTAATGGCAACGGTGTACGACTTGACTTTGAGTCAGACCTTATACCAAGTCATGACTTGACTCAACATGCTTGGAATTTATTTTGGGCCTCGGTTGACCCGTTGGATCCCCCCCCGCGCAGCGCGCGGCAGCTTGGGACTTGCTTGAAAGGTGTTTGGCCTACTTGCAAGTCGCACACTGTGACGGTCTTGCACCCCTGCGGCTCGCTTCTTCTTTCGCACCGCGTTCGGCCGACTCGATACGTTGCTTCTGCGCGATCGTACGAGAAGCAAGACATAGCGGTGGGAAAAGTTGACACGGCGACATCATGTCCTTGACCCCGTTTGTGACCCCCAGCTCCTGCTCCTGCGCGGCTACGCCTTTAACCACTCGGCCGACTTCGAGACGGTGCGCATGCTGAAGGAAAAGTTGTGCTACGTGGGATACAACATCGAGCAGGAGCAGCGTCTCGCCACGGAAACCACCTACCTGGTGGAGTCCTACACGGTAGGCCGGCCCTTCACCGACACTCTTTGATCATCCCCGGGTGACGTCCAATCAACGCGTCCGCCGCAGCTCCCGGACGGCCGGCAGGTGATGGTCGGGGGCGAGAGGTTTGGCGCCCCGGAGGCGCTCTTCCAGCCTCACCTCATCAACGTGGAGGGGGCCGGCGTGGCCGAGCTCCTCTTCAACACCATCCAGGCGGCCGACATCGATCTCAGGTACGCGCATATTTCTTTCCAGGTACTTTCTGGTCCCCCGAGGGAAATTTGTCATGGGCGCTCAACCGCTTCTGCGGTGGACAGTCGGCAGCGTCGTCATCCACACACACGGAGTGAAGCCCGCTTCTGATGCGTTTGCAGGGCAGACTTCTATAAACACATCGTCCTGTCTGGGGGAAGCACCATGTACCCCGGCCTCCCGTCCCGACTGGAGCGAGAGATCAAGCAGCTCTACTTGGAGAGGGTTCTGGATGGAGACACGCACAAGTTGGCTGTAAGACGCCACAAACATTGGGAGCGTGCGCATGACCGCCGCGTATGAGCGGCCAGTCCCGATCCGTTTGGAAAATGGGGCCGCTATCGGCTGAAATAAATTTCATCAAATTGGGGTGGGGGGGGGGGTTAAAGCTGAAATAAGTACCTGAGGGTCCCCTCATAGTCTTGGGTTCTAAAAGTTGAACTTCGTCCCCGCAGAGGTTCAAGATTCGCATCGAGGACCCCCCGCGCCGCAAACACATGGTGTTCCTGGGCGGCGCCGTGCTGGCCAACATCATGAAGGACAAGGAGTCCTTCTGGCTGAGCAGGGCCGAGTACCAGGAGAGAGGCCTTGGCGTGCTGCAGAAACTGGGAGGCGGCGTCAGATAAAAGCGCCGCCGATGATCGTTCATTTGAAATAAACCTTGACAAAAGATAAGATAAGATAACCTTTATTTGTCCCACACACTCGGAAAAAGCGTGCTGATTCAACTCCTGATTCTGAAGGGGTCGTTATATCAATGACTTAGTAAATAAGTCTTAGTCTATTATTTGTGCTCGTTAGATAGATAATACTAATCTGAATTGGGTGTTGAATCGTGTTGTTGCGAATGGGGGGGGGTAACAATTTGCACGACACACGTGCTCGCTTTAGTGGCCATGCCAGGCTTGTTCTAGTAAACATTAATGACTCTTATTACTGGGGGAGTTGGGGGGGGGCAGTATCTGTCCCCATCTAACGGTGAGTTTGAGGGTAACGGAATGAATGCGCGGTCCGATGTGGCCCCCTGGTGGCACTGATGAACAATTGGATCGGGACATCAGAGTTGGTGGAACCCACCGACAGAGCAAATGGTGGCCCACTGAGTGAGCGGATTTGTTGCTCAACGTAAGGACAAGCGGACAGAATGGTCAAGAGAAAAAGTTGCATAAAAATCGTGTACGTTCCACAATCGAAACGCAATGCAGAAAAATAATAAACCATACCGCAAAGCGAAACTTGCGGAAAAATAGATACATGCCTTGCGACTGGCGAAAACGTCGGGAGGCTTCCTTTAGTCTCCCCGCCATGAAATGCGTTTTTTCACTTCCTGTTAGACGCCTTCGGAGTGCGCGGACTAAAGGACGACTTATGATTGGCTCTTCGAAAGACTGCGGCGGGGGTGTCTCAGAGTTAAATAGCCACTAGAGGGAGCGACTGCTGGTTGAGAACGTGCAGATCTCGCCGCCATTTTGAGGACTTAATTCACGTCACTTTTTTTTGCAATTAGAAATGCAGGGAAGGGCCAAGGGCTTCACGTACA